ACAGTAATTAAGAGGTGGTTCCATGCACCTCAAAATCTCTAATCTCCCGATTAGAGACCTTGCTGCCGGATGTAGTTTATCGTCATACCCAGGACTGCATCAGATAGTACTGTGTTACATCACTAGTAGCATTCGTAGAGTGACCTAATATAATTAATTAATATACGCCATATATAATTTTAAGTTGGATGCCGACATTTGATAAAATTAATTTTTTAGCATTATCACATTTCTTAAACAGTTTCGTAGAAATTTTTCTTCTACGGTTATCATTACAGACGAGACCCCAGATCAAAGGTAGCTTACACTGTTTAATCGATTGGCGTTAATCAATATTCTTTTCAGAGTCCGTTTCCCATGCAGAAAATCGGGGTAGCCATTGATGCCAAGACTGACAATCACAAAACCACGTCAGTAGTGAAGGGATTTAATTATTCCAGCTCCTTTTAGAACGTGTTTGTTGCAAAAAGAAATATGCAGAAGAATCTCTCTCTTGCAAAAGAATACTACAGAAAACACGTAAAATCCAAATATAGTATTTGGATAGATTGGATCTGGATCGATTATTGGATATAATTCTATTTAACCAAATAGGAAGAAATTAATTATTGGCGATCAATCTTTTAAAATAACAGATAAATTAAGATATTTCTTCTGTTTTTTTGGGGGGGGGGTTAACGTGAAGAAAGCGACAAATATAATGTCATTTGATATTAAAATTTTCAAATGATTTGATTCAGGTGATTTTTTTTAATTAACATTCTTACCTAATATGATGTAATATAATGCAATATAATATATACAGTTCATGTGCACGGAAAAGAGTTCAGTCAAACTACCGCCCGGTTCACACTCCTCCCCGGTCTTTTGAACAGGAATAGAGGTTTATCTCTTTTTTTCCTGTTGAGGAGTGGTTTCCCAGTTACTTATAAAGGCAACTTCAACTCTTACTTCTTACTTCTTACGTCACTTCCTAAACTTTTATTTACTATTTTTTCTCCCCAATAAGAGTAGATAGGTTCGCCTACCGTCCGATTTACATCACTCCCAGGTGTAGAGGTTTATCCCTTGTTTCCTGTTTTGGATTTGGTTTGCGATTCCTTTTAATGTCTTCTCATTCTCTTTCACTCTCAGTAGCCTCTTGCGTTTTAGTGACATTATCGCCTTGCTTGGGGTGAATTGATTAAAAAGCACAAAAATACCTGAACGATGTCTTTCTAGTTCGCGGGAGCAGGGAGTGCCAACTCCTGATATAGGTTGAAGGATCAACAAGATCTGACATTACGGCGCTGGCTTTTGAAGTTGTGCAGTGAGCTTACGAGTCTCAGAAATCTAACTGGAAAAGGCCGTCTATCTGCAATTGACAATCAACATCTAAAAACACTAGTCGAATAAAACCCATGTCAAAGTGTACGAGTAATATCTCAGATAATTGATTTCCTCATTTCAACAATATCAGACAATCTCAAGGAAATTAGCAAGATGAAGAAACTCAATAAATAGGTTCCACGAGAACTCAGTGAAAGTCAACGATTTTGAGTTTCTGAAAGTGTGTTTGATGCTGCATTTGATGCTCTGTTTCATGATCGAATAGTAACTTGTGATGAGAAATGGATTTTTTTATAACAATCGTAAATGATCCACTCAATCATGACGAAGGATCTAAATATTTTCCAAAAACAAAATTGCACCAACAGAAGATTATGGTGACTGTCTGGTGGTCCGCCATTGGCATTATCATTACAGCTTTCTTGAAGTGAAACCAGGGCATCACTGCCCAGGGTTACCGCCAGCAACTGGATGAAATGCACGTTCAGTTAATCGTCGAGGTCTAATTCTGCTTCGTGACAATATTCAGTCCCACGTTGCCAGGATGACATTGCAGACTTGGAATATGAGACTTTGCCACATCCACCATATTTCCCTGAACTATCGCCCACTGACTACCACTTATTCAAGCATTTTTGATAATTTTTAAATCAAAAGACATTCCACTGTAAAGAAGATGCGAAAATTGTATTCAAAGATTTGTGGCGTCCAAATCTTTAAAGTTTTTCATAAATGCATCAGTAACCTTGTAATCTGATGGCGGAAACGTACAGATGTCCACCAGGGTTCTTACTTTGACTGATTTAAATTCTTTTTAAATACATTAGTTTACGGTACAAAAGTTGATTCTAAATTCGTACTTTCTTTTCTGAACAACGTAATAAATCTGTACTGTTTATAGTGAAAACTAATTATGATGCCTCTGAGATCTGTAGAATGTTCCTTAGTTTTTAGCATTATGGTTGCAACTGCGACAACGGTTAGCGATCAACTGATACACTACCCTATTGATACACTACCCCAATGTTAATTACTATCTAGAACGTTCGAGAATAACGTACAGATGTTTAGAAGTAAACAGCCAGAAATTTACATTTTCCAATTTACTCTTTTTTGAAAGAGTGTTAAATTTTTTTTACTTCATTTTTCTAAAAATACAATGTTATTGGTCATGACCCAGCATCTCGGCTTTAGTAACTTTCTCACCGCCGTAACTTACCTTCCCTGTCCCTTTTCTATAAATACTTTCATGGTAATTGTTCTGACGAATTTTCCCCTATGGGATTGTGGGGGGGTTTTATCACTAACACTATTTTGTTTAGTTTTTTCTATATATAATTTACAAATTATATAAATATAATTGTAAATATGCGTTGGCAGTTTCATTTTATTAAACTGTTATTTTTATTCTCCATCCCCACAGACAAATTATACATGTAGGAACTAGTTAGGACTACATAGAGACTTTGAGGCATTATGGTGAGTGTAATAAGAATGTTATGTAAGAATGTGTCGTTTTGGCGTAAGGAATACTGTGGTATGTTTGGGTCAGTAATTGTGGCTAGGTTTAAGATAAGACACATTGAAAACCAGCCTTCCCGTACCCTCGCTTTTAGCCTTGTGCCACATTTTTGTATTTTCAAAATACTTTTCTCTGTGGTAGCTAGAATATATGAATTTAAGCGCAGTACTAGATTGGCAAGATTATGGTGACTGTTTTGTGGTCCGTATTGACGTTATCCACTGCCTTCTGGGAGTGAAACCAGAGCATCAATGTCGAAGTTTAACGCCAGCAGCTGGATTAAATGCACGTTCAGTTAAGCAAAATGCGACCAGCATTTTAAAGTTGAATTGGCTCGATGTAACCGCAGTTCTTTACTAACAGTTTCTTTTCTCGCATTTTCACGTGTGAAAATCTCGTCCGGCTTCTTGCTTTCCGGACAACTTTGATCTTGAAAAATTTAAATGCAATTATTATCTAATGTCTTTTTTTATTCCTCTTCTTTTGTTGTTCTTGCTTCTTAAAAATATTTTCTTTTTCTTATCATTTCACACTCAGTAATCCCGTGTAGCTTTATTGATTTGCTTGGAGTGAAATGATTAAAAAATATTTTTTTATAATCTATATCTATAATTCTCAAAGTGTGTGTGTGTGTGTGTGTGTGTGTGTGTGTGTGTGTGTGTGTGTGTGTGTGTGTGTGTGTGTGTGTGTGTAAGTAATCTGGTTTGTTTATTCATTTCCATAGTTTTCCTCCGATTTCGCTGAATTTTTTTTTTTGTATGATAGATAATTCTTCAGTACTGGTTGTGAGTTCAAATTATTGGCGACAATGGCTCTCCACTATTTCCTGTCCATTATAACTCTCAGCAACGTTTTACTATTTACTATCTGTTCTTGGATGTATATCTTTCATTAAAACTTTAATAAAAATAAATAGTTTAAATTATTACAATAATATTTTTATTATTATACAGTTCCCTTTTCGGGGCCACCCCACCACCCACTGAAATTGTTAAACCCCACTTCCGTTTGGAGATGTACCTCAGTTGCACCGAAATGTTGTTACTAATATTGATTTTCGGGTTGGCTGACTTTAAACTTAAACTGCTCCAATTGAACGGCAAAAATTCCCAGTAATGAAAGACCCGGTCAAAGACGGGTTATACTGCTAGTTTTATATAAATGTATTTGTTGAAATATTTGCTCATAATGTATATGAGATAAATATTACACATGCTGCAATAAACTTTTACAGCCTATATTGAATACAAGTAGGTAGGTGTGTTCGAGCGCCATATTTTTTAAAACGAGAAACTGTAAAAGAAGAAAACGACTTTAATTAAAAATGCTGGAAACTTGCACACGTTTATACATTAAAGTTCACATTTCGTTCTCTCTATTTCTTACCAATACTTGGTAACCCTTAGCTTATCTCTTTCTCTTTTTCTATTTATCTTTGCTCCCTTTTTTTGTCCTTTCTCTTCCTTCTTCCTCGCAACTCTGACAGTCACAATCAGGTCAGCATAAAAAAACACTCTGAATCTTACTGACTTATATAGACATTTTTATTACCCACAATGCACTGGTTTTTGTTTTGTCTATAAAACTACCTTACTTAATTTCTCTGCTGACAGCAAGGTGATATTTCTTCTTTTATTCGTTCATTTAAACCACAAACTGGAGGGAGAGATGATGAATTCATACCTTGAGACCGAAATAAGAGGAAACAGTTCATCTGCACGGAGAGAAGTTCAGTCAAACTATCGTCCGATTCACACTCCTCCCTGTTTGTTTGGTTTTTTAACAGGAGTAGAGATTAATTCTTTGTTTCCGGTTTAGGGTTTGGTTTCCGGTCCCTTCAAAAATCTACTTCAGCTCTATCTTTCTAATGTCTCCCTCTAAACGCTGTAATTTTATTTACTATTCTTTCCTTCAATAGGAGTAGATAAGTTCACCTATCATTCGATTCATACTCTGTTCCAGTCTTTTGAACAGGAGTAGAGCTTTATACCTTGTTTCCTGTTTAGGATTCGGTTTCCGGTTCCTTCGAAAGTCTTCCCATTTTCTTTCAATACCAGTAGCCACCAATGCGTCATCGTGGTATTGCCTGTCGTCTTGCTTGAAGTTAACTGATTAAAAAACAAGCTAAATTGACAAAGTTCTCAATAAACTATAAGAAAAGGAAGAAAAAGAACAGGGAAAATAATACTAAGCAAACAATAGATAGATAGATAGATAGATAGATAGATAGATAGATAGATAGATAGATAGATAGATAGATACTGTGTATTTGGGCAGTAATCCATAATTATACATGTTTTATTAAAGACCACTGATAAGGTAATGCGATTAAGCTTTTTATTTAATTTTTCTTGTGTTCGAACAAGTGTTTTCTATTCGGGACATAAAGTGTCTCAAAACTGACCAAATGTTCTGCATTTGCGCAACATACTTGTAGAAAATACAAGTAAAATAGCCTAATTCATATGTAAAAAAAAAAATAAAAATAATGGAAGCCCTTATAATAAAAAAGAAAAGGCCAACACTCAACTAAGAACACGGTCACAATATGCCGATCGTCTTTGGAAAATGAAACATTCCTATAACTCTAGATACAAACATTAAAAATCCATACATTCAGCTAAAGATAAAATAAAATTTGTCCTTGATAATGGCTAAAAGAATAGCGAAAGTGCTCGGACATACAGAACATTTGGGAAATTTTCACAGACTTTATGTCAAAACTAGGCAAAGTAACATTAATAAGGAAAAAGTTCACAATATAAAAAGAATACTGACAAATGGTTCCAGCATTCTGACTTCACGGCAAGAAAGAACAAAAATATGGCGGATGTAACCATGAATTGTCCATTTTTATTAGGTAGGAAGGGATCCCAGTATGCATCTGTAGGATTTATCTATAAATAGCGGTCATTTCCAGAATTTGAAACAGCTGCCGAGGTTGCACCACCTCTCTTTGCATTAAACAGGGGGTCAGTATTCATACCGATGACAGTGCAACTGATGGTTGAAGGGGGCTGGGTAATTTTTGTCCTTGGCCCGATAGCAAGCGTTCTAGTTTACCCCGCGTTAAACGTGACCTTGTGTCACATCCCCTTTCAGTGGCGAGACCAGGGTAAATAACCAATTCCGGAATTTGGAACCCACTAGGCCGGAATTTGATCTCGGTTCGCCGATTTCACTTATTGCGCCAATACCCGTTAAGCTTCCCTCACGTGTACGGAAACGAGTTTAAAGCGCATATATTTGCCGGCTGATTTATATATTTATAAAGTTATTTTAAAAGAAACCTATTTTTTGTTGAATCGTACTTTGTTTGAACTGTACTTTTCTATATTTGCAATGTCGCCTCTTCAGAAACGCCTCTTTGGGACAGCAACGCGTTGCGTGTGAACTGGAAATGACTTGGGTTAGTCGGAGAGCCTGTCATGAATTCTAGTACCGCAAATACCTTAGGGTGGGTCACGCAAAGCAGCACTGCCAGGGCAAATCTGATTATGACTGCCTTTATCAATCAAGTTTCACATTACCAGACCTCAACCCACCTTGTCAGTTAGATAATTCAAGGAACGTCTAATCAACTCAAGGAAAGTCTGGACAGAATAAACGTCAACGGCCTTCTTCTTTATTGCTTATTCAACTTTAAAAAAATAATTGTCAAATAGCGTGTGCATCACCGAGTGGTTAGTGCTTGCATGATCACGATGTCAGTCAAGTCGAGCGTCTGTTAAGTGCCGAGGGTGTTGTTTGCCAAGGTTTGGACAGTTCAAACCTCCGGCTCATGTGTGCATTATATATATATATGGAAAAATAAAATCTTGCTTACTGTCGTACTTCGTGGCAGAGCGGTAAGGCGCACCACATCAAACTTTGATTTTCTTTACAAAGGAGAAGACAGGCTCAATTCCTGCAGGAGAATGCATTCTATTTATTAAGATTTCTCGAATGTTAAAGTCGATACGCATAATACTCAGTGTTTAATCAATAAAAATGGGTCGTCTATTTCAAATACGAAGCGCCCACAAAAATAGCGTTTGAAGTAATAAAAATGTCAGATTAAGTAGTTTATATATATATATATTGTTGAAACTTGAATAAAGCATAGAATAATAATAATACAACACAAAATGTACTTAAACAAAATGTATTGAAACAAGAAAGTGTACACAATATTTACAGCTAGTTTTGTTATATTCTTGGGAAGACCGTTCCTGTAGAATGGGTTGACTTAGTCGCAGTCGGGCAGAGTCTCTGGATTGGATCTCTTCTTCCTCCCCCGTCTTCCTGGTACCAACCATATTTATATGGTCGGTACTCCACTATGTAAATTAGGTGGACAACATATATATATATATATATATATATATATATATATATATATATATATATATATATATATATATATATCAATCACGCGCCGTCAGTAATTACTCATGGTAGGCAGCTTGTGACTTTTATGCAGGAAATCTGTAAAAAATATTTTTTCATTTTATGCATAATCATCAGCGTATTCTTCATAATTTTGTGGGATTAGGTGCACATTGTGCCACAGAAGGAAAATGCAGCTGCTGATTTATTTTATTCAGTATAGGCATTGCCTACCGTGCCTACCTAGACGGCATGTCCCTTAGATAGATAGATAGATAGATAGATAGATAGATAGATAGATAGATAGATAGATAGATAGAGTAAAAAATATAGTTTATGTATGTTATACTTATGGGCTAAGTGTTCAATATTAGAGATGGAGCGTATGTAAATATAAAAGTGGAGATTGTCAACGCACAGTGGCGACAGTCTGTTTCATGTTTAAACAGCTTGACGATTTCGTTTATGCATGAAACAGATTGTCGATACTGCCTGTGATGAATTCAATGTCCAGTTATATATATATATATATATATATATATATATATATATATATATATAATTTCAATGTCCACTTATATATATATATATATAAATGGACAGTGAATTCATATATATATATATATATATATATATATATATATATATATATATTTATATATTAATTAAATGTGCAAATTATAATTTATAAATTCATGAATCATTCATACAAAAAACAAATATAGAGGTTAATGATTTAAATGGCGAGAATACATCTTTGTTTTTTGTATGAATAATTCATGAATTTATAAATTATAATTTGCACCTTTAATTGAAATTAAAATAACTGATCCAACGTGCAACTTTCGGATAATAAGTGTGACATTACTGTAATTATTGAACAATATAGTTCATGTCACATAGACGGAAAATCTACCTGTAAAAAAGAATTCTCTTTTGTACAAAAACGCGCAACCTTAAACTTTAAATTCAAACTCAGCGTTGCGACCGCACGTTCCAAAACAATAACACATTTCTCATAGCATTTTTTCGGATTACATCTCTATTTTCGTTGTCCTCTAATTACCGAGAAGTAAAAACAAGAACAAAATCTATTTCCATAACTAAGGATGTCTGTAGGAACAGACGAAAGCTTGTAAAAATTAAAAAACTTTATGCAACTGGAATTTATGAACAGGGATCATATCATTCATATACAGGTTCGGGGTTGATGTATCTTATTTATATTGTTTGCGAAGATGTATTCTCGCCATTTAAATCATTAACCTCTATATTTGTTTTTGTATGAATGATTCATGAATTTATTATATATATATATATATATATATATATATATATATATAACTCCCTTCCTTGAATTCAACACACATAGCATCGAAAGTTTGTTTCATGCTTAAATGCAATTGTCAGGCCATATGCAGTTTTGTTTGAAGCATGAAACAGAGTGTCGCCGTTGAATGTTGACTTCAATGCCCACTTTTATATTTACATACGCTCTATCCCTGATATTGAGCACTTAACCTATAAATATAGCATTCATTAAAACTATATTTTATCATATATATGTGTGTGTGTGTGTGTGTGTGTGTGTGTGTGTGTGTGTGTGTGTGTGTGTGTGAAAATAGAGAAAACAATATGTATCGCTGTTTACTGCTTCGATAGATACTGTATATGTTAGATGCATGCAAAAGTTTCCAATGTTATTATTATAATTATTGAGTAAGAGAGCCAAACGCTAACAAAGTGACTCTGATGTACAAATATACTTGAGCCCAATATAACCACCATTACACTAAATATCTTCAGGTAGGGTAACCCAGTCCACAAAACGATTGAGAAAGTTCGCAATTAGCTCAATGAGGCTCCCATGTCGCCTTGGCAAACTCATTTTCAAAAATAAAAGAGAAACCTCAACGTAAACAGCTAGGATTCTACCTGCAACTAACCATGCTCATGAACAGAGATGTACGATGCAACAGCTTCTAGTAGGACATAGACAACATGTTATAGTCAGGCAACTTAAAGGCAAGTGTTTCAAATTCATTCCAGATCTCAAGTGCAACTCGTATATACAATTTATTGTTAAAGGTTCTGGGGAAAATGGGTGGCTCATTCTGTCGCTCCAGGGAGTACCTGGCATCTCCTATCATGCTTTATCATTAAAAGAAAATGTCAAATTAAACCTAAAATGGAATATTACTGCCATATATGGTCGGGAACTGCTCAGTCATTAGGCAAATCTGATACTCACAGGGGAGAAAAAGGGAAAGTGGCACAGAGGAAAACAACGCATAACATATTTAATGAGTTTGAGTAAATGGATGGCGGAATAGGGCTTTGAAGAAACAACAGAAAGACAAAGTTTATTAAGAGTTACAAGGGACAGGAAGCTGTGGAGGGTCATGATCACCAACGTCCTGAGAGGACGCGACACATAAAGAAGTCTTGGATTGACTTATTCTTCAATATGCAGCCATGGACGTGGTGTTGCTTACTCTATCGCTATTTCCATGGCAAATGTTCAGATGAGCTCCACTCTTTAGCTCCACCAATTCAAACATTTACACCTAGGATACGACATACTGCGTTCATAGTATCGAATCGATTTAGTTTTACTTAATTCTACTTTTAATTTAGTTTCATAGTCAGGAAACCAAAAAAGTAAATATTGAGAAAAATAAAGTTTTTGATATTTTATAAGTACAAAGCAATTGTAAAATTAATTACTCCGTCATTTTTTGACGTCATAGGTAATCTAGTTTTCCGTACGATAAAGTAAGCGATTACTTTATATATATTTATTATGGTAAAAACATTATCTCGCACTTTCTCAGTTGGTTCACTGTGTCGTGCGAGACAATTTTTCTCTCCAGAATAAATCTTACATATCTATAAGTCTACCATTCGTCCATGCTTAGAATATTGTTGACTCATATGGTCGGGTGCCCCTGCTGTTTATCTGGATCTCCTTGATAAAATCCAAAAAATCAGAAATATTGGACCTGATCTGGCGACTGAGCATCAGTCACTTTCCCACAGCCGTCAGATTGCCTCTCTGTGTCTTTTCTCTAAATACTTTCATGGTAATTGTTCGGATGAGCGCTTCATTGTGGTACCTAGACTTTTTGAACTTGAGCGCAGTACTAGACTGGCATCGAGATCTTATCAATTTACTGTTAAGCTTGCTAGATGTAACTGTAACTTCTATGCTAACAGTTTCTTTTCTCACACTTCTCACTTGTGGAACTCACTTCCGGCTCCATGATTTCCAGCCAACTTTAATCTGCAAAGTTTTAAATGCAATGTCAATCGCTATCTATTTTCCTCCTGATTACTCTTTCCTCTTCTCTTATTAATGTTTCTGTTCCTAATTCTTCTACGCCCTGTAGTCCCTTATGCCTTTGAGGTTTTACTGCCTTGCGTATGGGTGATACCGATTTAAAAAAAAGAAGTAAAACACACATCGTAGCGAGATTTTTGTTGGCGCAATATCGTCTACGTTCTAACTTAGAGAATAAAGCAATTCTCAATCCAATTTGCAACTTAATTGTGTTGGAATCCATTCCTGCTCGACCTAATTTAACCGATTTCTCGAGGGAGATAACTCCAAGTATATTAAATGCTATTTGTAGACTAGTTTCTGTTACTTATTAGCAAGTAATTACAATATAAATTCGATAAATATCAAGTGGCATAACATTGTGATTAATGGCCGCTGATAATCGAGTACGTATTCCGAGAGACACGCGTGCGTTACCGAGTGATTAGAACGCTAAATCCGGGTTCAAATTTCAACATGGCTTGTCAGAGAGACAATCCCGACGTGTGGCGCCGATATAGGAAATGTCTGAAAACCATACCGCAGGTTAATCTAAGCTTTTTAAAACTGAATAGACGAAACCGTCGATGGTTGTGTTAACAAGAAGTCACAAGTCATCGTGACCGAGGATTTGACTTTACTGAGTGTTCAACTATAGATTACACCAAATCTGTTCAAGAAAATCATACTTTGATTCAAGACTTGTGAGTGAAATTGGGTTGACAAAACTGTTCAGAAGACCGAAGTCAAATGTCAGAGGTCATCGTGACCGAAGGTTTGAGCGTCTTGTTCCTCTGTTGATCATGCTAGATTATACGCTCCCTCCCAGAAACTGTGCCTAAGATCTGGTCAACATAGCTGCAGTACAAACCATAAGTTGGTTCAGTGGGTGTTAAAGAAACACAATTGTGCCTGAGTAAGCCCCTGCAACGGGGATTGACTGACCACTCTAGCAGACGGGCGCACTCAGAAACGAGCAGCTAGTAATTATCAGAATAACGTAAAGACAATATAAAACAAAAAATATGGAATCCGTAAGCGCGCGCGCGCGCGTGCGCGCGTGTGTGTGTGTGTGTGTGCGCGCGCGCGTGCTTTAATTACGCGCGTACATGAATGTATATATATATATATATTATTGTACGGTTATGTAAGTGCGGATGTGATACACATTTGAATTCGCTATAACATAAAGCTAAATTTGATTATATTCAACTTTACAGTCTTCGTTTTATGAAAAAAATTACGTATTGGTGCATATAGTTTTGCATATGCAAATATGTGTCTGTTAGTGACGCTGTAATTTTTTAACTATTCGAAACTGACTGTTGAAGAAATATATATATATATATATATACATACACATACTTCAGAAAGTCCTGAGAAGAAATTACTTTGAATTTAAATTAGCTTTCTAATCTATTGCTTAGAATTTTATTTTGAAGTAACTTGATAGCGTGAAGTTTTGTTATAAATTTACATTTATCGATGTTTCCCCTTCTCCATCTTCATTTCCTCGGCCAACCCGCGCTACACGGGGGATTAAATTGAATATTAATTTTTATTTTTTAAATTCAAGTTTCTGAAACCATTAAATTTTTTGACTCTTCGATACTGAATATTGAGGATATATAAATATATGTGTGAGCGTGTGTGTGTGTGTGTGTGTGTGTGTGTGTGTGTGTGTGTGTGTGTGTGTGTGTGTGTGTGTGTGTGTGTGTGTGTGTGTTCCTCTCTCACTCTTTCTCATTCCGTGAAAGTCAAGGTAAGAAGTTACTTTGATTTTTTTTAAATAATATTGTTTAGAACTTTAACTAAGTTGAAATTTATATATGAAATCTATTGTCGGATGATCGGGGACTAAGGCGGCACCACGATTCCAACTAACAACGTGCGGGCCGGGTTATTAGTAATCTTTTAGTAAGTTCTGTCATAGGTCGGAATAACTCTTGAGGATTCAGCGACCAATTAAGTAGAGGTGGTGTCTCAATAAAATCACCGTGGAGAAGGCAACACAAAACCACTTCACTATCAATCCCAAGAATATTCCCATAACTATCGACATTATTCATTATTATGCAAGGTAACAGCGTGAAGGGGGTTGAATCTATTGAAAGTATCTCCATGCACGGTAAGGAGTGACATGTGCAATAGGTGTCACCTGACCATCATCCAGCGACTGTTAGCAAAACTAAAATAAAAAAAAAACAATATCGTAAAGGGAGTCAGACTCCTTGGAATTTATCCCTCGTCCGGTAAGACATGCTCATGTTTCCCTTAAGTCAAGCGACTGATCGCATAAAAAATAGTTTTAGGTACATTAACACTAAATAAACGTCGCCAGTTAGAAAAGTTAAAGCAGGAAATGAACAAGTTAAATGTTAATATTTTAGGGGCATCTGCGAAACGAGGTGAGCAAACAAGGGAGATTTTGTATCATTAATGCAGCCGGAGATAAATAAAAAAAAATGAAAGGGGAGTAGGATTTATATTAAACTGTGGAATCTTCCACGTCAGTCAGTCACCCCTGCGTGGGTAAATAAACTATTCTCTGTAAGTGAATATATGTTATGGTCCGGTTCCTTGTACCACGGTGGTAGTCCAAGGTAGAACCAATAAAGAAGAACGCGAACACAGGTATGGAATAACACAGATATATTACAAACAGGAATATATACAGAGAAGTAGAAGTGTTAGTATGAACAATCAGGTTTAGTAGAGAGAACAATATAGTCTCGACCAGTATCACTATTCCAATGTCTTGTAGTAATTGTCTGAACGTGACTCTGTTTCGGACTGCCTCTGACTCGACTCTTGACTCGACTTGAACTACTGACTGACTCCACTTGAACTACTGACTCCTTTTGAACTACAGACTCCTTGCCTACTCCTGAGGCGCAGTATTTATTAAGTATGGAATAGTCCATTATTATTATTATGGGTACGATCCCATAACAATATATGACAAGCATTCATTGATTAATCACCTTCAATCTAGCTCGCTGATTGATCAGTTCCAACCAATCAAATCACCCCCACGCGACAAATCTGTTTTCCCGCGTTTTCCATCTGAGCCTGTCACGTGGTACAACAAAATTATAAAAACAAAACACGTGTAAACTCTCTCTCTCTCTCTCTCTCTCTCTCTCTCTCTCTCTCGTCTCATTCCTTGCTGCCAAGATGTAATCTTCAAGAACTCCCGTCTTAACCTTTGCAGTCAGACGTTAAAGACCATTACCAACATTCACGCAAGTACAAACTCTGAAATCTCTTCTGAACTTTTACCAACTTGTACAATATACAATTCCAAACATGCTAAAGAAACTTTATTCTTCTAAACTACAGTTTAATAATTACTTTCACTTTATGAGCTTAGGTACAAATATTACCTAGTCTAAGAGACACAACTCAATCTAACTTTTCAGTACACATGCATGCATATCAAATATTTAATAAATTCAATTGTTACGTTTTGAAACAATACGTTTTTGAATAATTATTCTCTGTCTTGTATTAATTGTTGTGGATGGAAGATTATTGAACACACACAATTTTAAGCCTTCTGATAATTCAAACCTTCTATTCCTCTCCAACACACATCACACATCCGCAACAAAACAAAAAAAAAATGAAGAAACGTAATCTGGGATATTATTGTTACCTCCTTCTAAATTTTGAAATCACTACTTGGTGGCGCTCTCGAATGCTATATATACGGAGCGAGATCTGGTCTCATTCACTCTCTCTCTCTCTCTCTTCTCATTTTTCAGATGACACTCCGACAATGTAATCTCTCGTGAAGATTGCGTTTTCCTCTTTGTAGTGGTGGGGGACTATACGTTTCCTTCGGGAAGCACCATAAACATTACACACACACACACACACACACACACACACACGCACACACACGTACGTATGAACTTTCACTCATTCATACTTTGGAACACACACTCTCAACATTAATTTGTTACACACACATTATTGTCTATGTCATTTTGTAAACCGTTTGTTGTTTAATACATTATTATTTTCTGTACATATATATTTATTCGTGTTGTTTCATTACATTTCTTATGGCGGATTCAATCCCCGAGTCCGCCATGTTTTGTTGTGGGCCAATTTCTGGAGACACACGTGTTCATCTCAAAACGCGTACAACTATCAAATATCTGAGAGAATTCTTGTAGTTAAATTGAAAGGGAAGCCTTTTAACATATCCCTCGTATTCATGTACCGAGAGCATTAAGTACAGAAGATGAAATTGGAAAGTTTTGGTGTCCGCTAGAGAGCACCAAGGCTCAATGCAGGAGAGTGTAATCGTCATGAGATACCTGAATACCAAAATAGGGAAGGAAAGAGATACGAAATAGTTGGCAAGTTTGGACAAGGAACTTGTAATGAACACGAAGTAAAATGGTTCCATTGGTACAGGGCGAAGAATCAGCTATTTGCCAACACCTGGTTTCAAGAACACCCAAGATGTATATCGACATGGAGAAGCCCAAGTGAAGAAACGAAAAAACAAATCGACTACATAAACTGATGAGTGCCAAGGCAGCATCCAATTTCTAATAAGACAGACTTCTGAATGACTCAAATTTGAAGGAGAAATATACGGACAGTGCTAAATGCAGATACAATGAACTAAATGAGAATGGAAATTCGATGTGGACTACATTAAGAGAAGCTTTAGTAACATCAGCAATCGATATCATTCCAAGGAAAAGTAGATAAGTGAAAAAGAATGGATGACAGATGTAATTCTCGAAATGATGAAAAGGAGACAACAAACAATGCCAATGCACAGCACAGAATATAAGACATTGCTCAAAGAAATTATGAATAAATGCCGGCATGGAAAAAAGGAAACGTGTGCAGAAATACAAATTGTTGTGGATTCCGAGATGAAATCCGGTCTCAAATGAATGACAAACGCAGGAATGAAATATAGCAAAAAAATGTATGGACGTAATAATACAATTGGTAATACGGTTAGTAGATCCAGAACTGCGGTTAGTAGCAATAATAATATATATATACAGTCTGGGAAATTCAGTATCGAAGTAGAACTTCCTTCTGAGTCTACGTGCTCGCAACTGTGACTCCTACAAAGCAGTTACCTCACACTCTCACTGTATCACTTCCGACTCTAGTCTCTCGGGTATTCACCGGCAGCAGTACAGGTACACACTCGGCGAGTCCACTTGTATGAAAAAGGGGTGGACCCCATAACACAAATAATTTGCACAATAATTTCTGTATAATGGACAGACTTTATAATGGAGGTTCGATGTGTCAATCGGTGTTGAGCAACCATACGTTTTTTAAAATATCTAAAAATTTTATTTACATGCATAAATTTCTTTTCTTTTTTTCCGGATTAGCTTTCAAATAAAGCCGTACTTTAACTTAAAAAAAAAAAAGAAATTTAAATTCTTTAAAATATTTTTTCTATTTTTGATGGGATGGAGTTCATCGTGGCAGCTAGCAGTTACTGATTTACTTCTGCATTCATACAAAATAAAATAAACATAAAGAAAACGAGGTCGGACTAAGTTTATTCTTCGCATCTGTAGCATCGAATGAATCCACCGTGCCGTTCTTTCAAAATTCATACTGACATGATTACAATCCTCCTTCGTGTCCAACACTACATTCCTCGTTGACAAGAGACATACTCGAGACTACGGAGATTAGAGGATTTGTAGGCTACAGCAAATCTCTACTTTCAAGTTATGGCGTGAAGTGTAGAGGGGTGAAATTCAGACTACTACTGCTTTTGTCAACCTTTCGATTTTCGGTCAGTCTCTGACGATGTTTACTTCTGCTGATGTTGCCACCATCGGGTCTTCTTTTATATGTGCAAACTTCGCCGATATAACAGTCTGACAACTCTACTCGATAATGGCATCGGACATTGCAATAAAATAAAACTTCGACCAAATTATTGGGTTTCACTGTCAGGGAATTGTTCTTTCAATAAAGTTTCCTTTTCCAATTAAAGGTCTAACTCGGAAAGGAAAAATCACTTTGTAAAGATCCAGCTAAAATTAAAAGAAAATCGTCAACCTACAATGCAAAACAAAAGACTTATTCTTAAATTCACACCATAGATTGTACAGACATACAGAGATAAATACATAGAAACACAAATATATATGCAATATTCACGCTAATCTCTCTCTCTCTCTCTATATATATATATATATATATATATATATATATATATATATATATTTTTCATATATATATATATATATATATATATATATATATGAAGAAATATAGTCTTAAGGTGTGCTATATTTATGGGATAAAGGGCTTAATATCAGAAATAGAGTGAGTAAATATAAAAGTGAACATTGAAGTCAACACTCAAAAGGTGACAGGCTGTTTCATGCTAGACGCAATCGTCAGGCCACGTGTGTTGTAGTCACGTCAGTCACGTGTATATATATATATATATATATATATATATATATATATATATATATATATATATATATAGGAAGAGAGAGAGAGAGAGGGAGAGATATAGACCAAAGGTCATGTTATGTTGTTCTAATGTTGCGACAACACAACATGAATTTTATCCACACACAACTATTATATTCACGATGGGATATTCGTACACAGGGGAAAAAAAGATCATTAAATATAATAAACATAAAATGTCCATTGTTTGCAACAATGCATGTTTAAAATAACAATTTCTGCTCAAATAGATAGATATGAAGAGGACGACATAGATAGATAGATAGATAGATAGATAGATAGATAGATAGATAGATAACGATTAACCCTAGACTTGAACAGGTTAAGATTGTAGTGATCGCGGAAACATCCTCTTGGGAGTCGATTCCACAGAGCAGTGGTTCATGAGAAGAAGCTGTTCGAGTGGAACTTACTTCTCACCAATGGAATACGGAGGGAATGTGGGTGGTTTGATACTATGTAAGAGGCATGGCGTGTCCTTGTCGAGAAGATTTGAACTGGCGGAACCAAGGAATGTAGTTCGTTCGAGCACTTTCCGTGGAAGTAACGATAGAGCAGTGAAAAGCTTTTCACATCCTTCCTGTGAGTTAGGGGTTGTGGGTGTGGAATAATTCGTCACCCACGAGGACTCGGAGACTCTTTTGGATTATCAAGGCGGGAGAGTGAGGTTTGGGCAGTTCCCGCACAAATATGACAATAATCTATTTTGGGCTTGATCTGACTCCTGTAAAAGTAGAGTATGGCATGAGGAGTTAGGCACATACTGGAGCGGTACAGGGAGCCAACCATTTTACCTGCGTCTAACGTGTTGGGGGGGGGGGAGATAAAACTTTTGCTAAGCATTTATCAGGGCAGAAAGTTAGAAAGAGGTCGATGTCCCGTCGCCTCAGGGACACGGGTGTGTTCTTCGATGATCTGGGTTATTTTGTAGGCGGTGGGGATGTCTCTGCAATATCTGCCCTCATCATCGGTTTTGTTGGAGTAGACTCAACACTCTTTGTGGTGACTATTGAAGTCACGGCAAATATGAACGCTAGCCGAGGGAAATTGAGTGAGGATATTATCAATCTTCTCAGATATTCGATCGGAGATTACCGTCCCTTCGTCCTGAGGGCGATAGAGAGCAAAAACGAATTTGGTTCTATGAATAAGTACCACGTGGAAACACATATACGGGAGATCAGGTTTCTCGTTTTTTGCGTCCATGCCACAGGGAACTTCGTCCATGAATGTAGGCTCTGAATCCGTGGCCGTCGTGATTTTGGTGGTCGTGTTTTGTTATAATAGATAGATAGATAGATAGATAGATAGATAGATAGATAGATAGATAGATAAACAGAATTAAATAGATTTTGTAGATCCCATGTTTCTGAGGCCCAAAAAAGTAATAAATTACATCCTTGAGTATAATATGACCCCCCCCATGGTACAGGTTGAGAATCATTTATCCGAAATTTTGGGGACCGGAAGTGCTTCGGTTTTCGGATATTTTTTGGGTTTTTTTTTCAGATTTCAGAATAGAATACAGCTTACTTAATTAAAATTTGTATATAGCATCTATAAAATGGGATAGCTTGGGAATGGAACCCAAGCATAAACACGATATCCCTTTACATTTCAGAACACAGCTTATACATATACCCTGAAGGTAGTTTTATATAAATAACATATACCCTGAAAATAGTTTTATGTAAAATTTAATAAATTTTGTGTACATACAGATCCCGGTAAGGACGCTAGTCATATAACGTTCGCACAGATTTGTAAGTAGTGAAATTAAGATTTCACGTAAAAATAATGTTTTGCACATTCTGTACGTGTACAAAAACATGATCACTACTTACAAAAAATACAAATGTAGCACTTTTAAACCTTTTGAATACTATCTTTACTGAACACAAAATACCTGAGCGAAGGTGTTGCTATGTCGATCACTACAAAAAAAAACTGACGCCAATCTAGGCAACGTAGCCGGCTGGGGAACTCCCCACCCAAGGAAGATGAGGTTACTTACAACAGCTGTACATCACCTAGGAACCTTCCTAGTGCTTTCTGAAATTTTCGATTTTGTTGTCAATCATATGAGCACCTGAGAAAATTTCGGATTTGCGGGGTTTTCGGATTTTGTAATTTAAGATAAAGGATATGTACAACCATTCCTATGTAATTTTTCTTTAATTTTTCATATTATCCATTGAAATCTCAGTGCCGTACACATATTTGTCACACACTCCATATATATATATATATATATATATATATATATATATATATATATATATATATATATTTATTTATTTTATAAAAGAATAGAAATGAACCGGATATTTAGCTATTGCGTGTTTCTTCACCTAATTTCCGTTTCAAAATTTATTTTCGAATATTCGAGGAAAGGTGCTAATATAGTGGGTCAGACAATTTGCATTGATTATAAATAGAAATAAAAACTGACCCTCTACAATTTCTACAATATCAAATGTAACAAAGACAACAACAAGAGAAATAATCAAGTAGAAGAAATTATGAATTTGTTCAACAATAAATATTTTTTATAAACACAACAAATACATAATATTATAGTGCAAAAGTTGATAAACACAATAGAGTTCTTTGGTGTGTGTGTGTTACTGAAAGAATTTGAGTTACTGTACTGTATGTGTGAAAATGACAAGTTTTAGTTAGCTATATTTGTTTTTATAGGAAAATTAAACAGATGTTTTTTGTGTATTAAATAGGAAAAAGTATTGTCTTGACTCACTGATTATTATAGAGTTATCGCTCATTAACCAGAGATTCTTCTTGTGGAATGGAATATTTTGTGGGAGTGAGCGTTAAGATGGTTGACAAAGTTTGTTGTTGTATTGAAGATAAAGTACGTCTCCTTTGCTGTGTTGATTTCCAATGAAGTCAAGTGAATTGTTTCAATATTTTAAGTGCCCACTGACCAAGTCGCGTCGAAGTTTCGTTTTTATTAGTTCTCTTGGTCACGTGGGGAGGCTCGTAAACATGTTTACATTTTATGGCGTCAACTAGAGGTCAAAATTTGGGTCGGTACCTTCGGACGTAGTTGACGACACCTAATTAATATTTTACAACCAATCAAAATACACCAGTTGTTATATTTGGTTGGGAGCCTCTATGTGTTTAACTTGCACAAAATTTAAGATTTAAAAAAAATGTAGCAATCTGATTCTACAATAATCCCGCAGATTGTGAAAGTTTTTGAGAGAAAATTTTCTCAATATGTAATATACGTTTTAAATCTACTAGGCCAATGAAGATGTCTGCCAGACTTGGTATTAACTTCGCGGGTGGTACTGAAGGTGCAGCTGCACTGGCTGGGTCAAAGATGTTAGCTCAGGGTCAGGAAGCGATTTATGAGATGAATCGATGTAAGCCGTTTTCAACCGGTCGACTGACACTGTGTTAGGCTTTCCGTGCAAAAGTAAAGTAAAATGCTTGGACTTTCTATTAAATACTTTATGTGGACCAGAATACGTGGGGGTTAAGGGTCTTCTAACTGCATCTTTTCGCAGGAAGACGTAATCACAACTGTCTAAATTTTTCGGCATAAAGAACTCGCTTGTTTGGGCACGCGTTGGAGTAAAAGCTAGGTTTTCCATTTTTTGTTTAAAATCCTGGACGAAATAGGTAGTCGGTCTGGAAGGAGTATGCTTTTCCACGAACTGTCCAGGGAGTGTTAGCGTACTCCCAAAAACAAGTTCTGCTGTAGTGCATCCTAAGTCCTCTTTGACTACATTTCTTAATCACAGTAAAATCAGTGGTAGGTTTTCCAGCCAAGTCCTGGAGTCATCACTTGCTGCTAGTGCTGCCTTAAGTTGCCTATGAAATCGTTCCACAAGGTCGTTTGCACATGGATGGTAGGCGGTTGTAGAAATGTGCTTTACGCCTAACAAGTTTATAAATTCATTGAAAAGGACTGACTGTAACTGGGAACCTCTATCAGTGGTTATTATTGAAGGACAACCAAAGATAGAGATCCACTCTCTAAGAATGCACCTGGAAATCGTTTCCGCTGAAATACTTTTTAAAGGAACGGCTACAGGCCAACGAGTGAAACGATCGATTATTGTTAATAAGTATTGGTACCCATCAATGTCGGGCAAAGGGCCTACTAAATCAACGTGAATGTGAGTGAACCTACCATCAAGCTTAGAGAATGTACCAGGCGGAGACTTGGTATGCCGTTGTATTTTAGTTTGCTGGCATTTTAAACAAGTCTGTATCCAATGTTTTATGTCACTGGACATTTTTGGCAAAACGAAACGATCACTAATCATCTTAGTAGTCGCTCTTCGACCAGGGTGCGACAGAGAATGGAAATGTTCGAATACTTTTTTTCGCAAAGAAGGTGGTAAATAGGGCCTAGAGTATCCTGTGCTTACATCACAATAGACAGTAGTGTTACCAAATGGCACTGGGTGTTGCTTTAACTGTAGTGACGTTTTTTCTTTTACTGATTCCAAAGTAGTGTCAGTCTTTTGTTCTTACGCTAAGGAGTCGAAATTCAAGGGCTGTGCGTCGATTGACTGTATCGTTGATCGCGATAGGGTATCAGCTACTATATTGTCAGCCCCTTTTACATAGCGAATATCCGACGTATATTGGGAAATATAATCCAATTGTCGGATATCCCTTGGGGTATATTTGTCCGACTTGGCGTGCAGAGCATAAATTAATGTTTTATGATCTGTATAGACCACAAAATTCCGTCCTTCCAAAAGATGACGGAAATGACGGATTGCCAAGTATATTGCCAGTAATTCCCTTGAAAATGCGCTGTACTTTTTCTTAGATGAGTTTAGCTTGACTGAAAAGAACGAAATAGGTTTTTTAGCATCTCCCTGTTCCTGGTGAAGCACAGCCCCTATGGAGTCACCTGATGCTTCTGTTGTCAGTGTGATCATTGAGTCATCATCGGTTATATATGATAACTTCGTAAAGTTGGCAAGGGCGTCTTTGGCTCTGTGAAAAGCAGTCAGTGATTCGCCTTCCAAGGTAATCTTTGAGTTCTTCTGACGCTGTTGTTGCAGTAAATCTGTGAGGGGAATCAGAATCTGGGAACAACCAGGAATGAACCTCCGGTAGTAATTAATGAGGCCTAAGAATCGGCGTAACTGCCGGAGTGAAGTTGGTTGTGAGAAATTTGAAATAGATTTTATTTTCTCGGGTAAGGGTGTTATTCCCTTTTCATCAATGACGTGTCCCAAAAATTTAAGTGAGGGCACAGCAAAAATACATTTCTCTGCGTTAATCTTAAGGCCAAAATGCTATAGACGCTGGAAAACTTGTTCAACGTGATGACGATGTTCGGTCTTGTTTCTACTGGCGATCAGGACGTCATCAATATAGGCAAAGGTGAAAGGTAAACCTCTCAGCACTTCGTCTATAAGCCGTTGGAAAGATTGTGCGGTGTTCCTTAAACCAAATGGCATTCTCACAAATTCGTATAAGCCAAAGGGAGTAGTTATTGCTGTTTTATGGATGTCTTCCTTGGCCACTGGTATCTGGTGGAATGCTTTCACCAGATCAAGTTTGGTGAAGACTGTGGCGCCCTGCAGACCCACTGCGAAATTGTGCAAGTGCGGGATGGGGTATTTATCCGAAATTGTAGTAGCATTCAGCTTCCGGAAGTCGCCACAAAGTCTCCAAGCTCCTGAGTCCGATTTTGGAATCATATGAAGAGGAGATGAGTAAGGACTCGAAGAAGATCTAATTATACCGAGGTCCAGCATGTGCTGAAACTCAGCTTTCGCCAGTTTATATTTATCAGGCCTCAATCGCCGTGGAGATGAATGCGTGGGTGGGCCCGTAGTATCAATGTGGTGCTCAGCATTGTGACGAACGGTTTCTGTATACCGGAATGGTGCTGTAATTTGAGAATATTTTTGTAACAGATCCTGCATTCTGTTGGCTTCAGGTAGAGTTGCGCTGATACATGTGCTCCTATAAATAGATGTAATTCCTTTCCTTGTAATGTTGGTCGTTTTATCCTCCAAAGAAAGGGAAGACATATTAACGGACAAGTTATTGGCGAGGAAATCCGCTCCTAGGATTGGGGTTCGAACTTGGGCTATCGTGAATATCCACGGAAAAGATCGCCTAAATCCCAGATTTAGGGTTAACGAGGTTTCACCATATGTCTGGATTGAAGATCCATTCGCCGCTTGTAACGTATGATCTGTATTTCTAGTCAACATATTAGGCTTAGCTGGTATTACACTAATTTGTGCCCCAGTCTCCACTAAAAACAAGTAGCCAGAGTTCTCATCTCGGATGTAAAAGAGACGACTTTTTGGCATCCCTCCGGCAGCAAACGTCTCTACTTGTTGCCGGGATAGTCGTTTCCCGACTGCTGTGTGTTGTTATCCTTAGCTGCGTTTATGTCGAAGTTACACGGTTTCATACAATGCCGCGCTTGTTGTCCATATTTAAAATGATACCAACAGGTATTAAATATAGGCCTGCTTCTGGATGTGGAACGTGATCTTCGCCTAGTATGATGTGATGGACGTGGTCGTCTAGTGAAATTGTTGGGTGTGCGATTTTGCTGATGCATAGCGGTTTGTAGAGCTTGTAACTGTGAGGTAAGCTCTGCTATACAATCTTTAATTTTCGATAACTCTTGTGAGTCACGGACTGAAGAGACAATAGGTTGTAACGGTGTCGCAGAAGCAGTTCCCGGAGGTTTATTCGCATATATTTTGTCCGCAATTTCTGCCAATCGCTGTAGGTCAAAATCGTCCGGGAGTGACACTAATATTTGTGATGTTTGTGGGCTCAGTTTATCCATCCATAGTTTACGGAGGACTGTGTCAGACATGGTATTGTCACCTAGTAAAACTTTCATCTTTCTAAGCAATTGGGAAGGTTTATAGTGTCCCAAATGAAGGTTGTTAAACAAATCGTGCAACCGACGTTCCTCTGATTCGCCCGTGCGGTATAGTATAGCATCTTTCAAAGTATCATACGGTTTCTCCGCCGGCACTTCACTGAGGAGGTCTGCTACCTCTAATGCTACATCTGAGGGAAGTTTCTCAACTACAAAGGCGTAACGGGCATGTTGGGACGTGACCTTTCTTGCATTAAAAATTGCGTTTAACTGCGCAAACCACACTTGAACGTTGGTGTGGTTGTACGTCGGTAGACTGATGGAAATTGCCGCTTCAATATGTTCGCTGGTAGAATTTTCCATTGTTTTCGTTTAAAACGTGACAACTAAAGTATTTCTCTTATAAAATGCTGTTTTTAGAATATTGCATTTCACATTTGAACTTCGGGGTCACCAATTTATAGTGGGTCAGCCAATTTGTATTGGTTATAAATAGAAATAAAAACTGACCCTTTACAATTTTTACAATATCAAATGTAACAAAGACAACAACAAGAGAAATAATCAAGTAGAAGAAATTATGAATTTGTTCAAAAATAAATATTTTTTATAAACATAACAAATACATAATATATAGTGCAAAAGTTGATAAACACAATAGAGTTCTTTGGTATGTGTTACTGAAAGAATTTGAGTTACTGTACTGTATGTGTGAAAATGACAAGTTTTAGTTAGCTATATTTGTTTTTATAGGAAAATTAAACAGATGTTTTTGTGTATTAAATAGAAAAAAGTATTGTCTTGACTCACTGATTGTTATAGAGTTATCGCTCATTAACCAGAGATTCTTCTTGTGGAATGGAATATTTTGTGGGAGTGAGCGTTAAGCCTGGAGATGGTTGACAAAGTTTGTTGTTGTATTGAAGATAAAGTTCGTCTCCTTTGCTGTGTTGATTTCCAATGAAGTCAAGTGAATTGGTTCAATATTTTAAGTGCCCACTGACCAAGTCGCGTCGAAGTTTCGTTTTTATTAGTTCTCTTGGTCACGTGGGGAGGCTCGTAAACATGTTTACATTTTATGGCGTCAACTAGAGGTCAAAATTTGGGTCGGTACCTTCGGACGTAGTTGACGACACCTAATTAATATTTTACAACCAATCAAAATACATCAGTTGTTATATTTGGTTGGGAGCCTCTATATGTTTAACTTGCACAAAATTTAAGATGTAAAAAAAAAATGTAGGAATCTGATTCTACATTAACTGGACATACCTCGTAAAATATTTTAAGGTGTTAATTATTCTATCAGACTTTTCTGTTTGATATGATTTTATTATATTTCTGTATAATAATAAACGATGAAAATAAAAAAAATATTGTCTTTCATTAAGAATGAAGAAACAAATATTGCCCACATTTCAAATTCCTTTTGTAAGTATTCGCCCACATATCAAATACCTTTTTTGTAAACGATTGCCTACTTTGTGTTTCGTCATCTATTGTGCTGAGTGTATTTTCACTCTTGTCCTTTTAAATAAGTTTGTTTTTTTAACCTGAGTAAACATTTCTGAATATGTGTACTTGTGTTTAATACGACGCCACTTTTTGGCCTTTAATTTTCATTCAAGATTTCAAGATAGATACAAGATAGAAGATGCATAGAAGAAGAATGATAGATAGATAGATAGATAGATAGATAGATATAGATAGATAATGGACAGAATGAGATAGATAGATAGATAGATAGATAGATAGATAGATAGATAGATAGATAGATAGATAATGGACAGAATGAGATAGATAGATAGATAGATAGATAGATAGATAGATAGATAGATAGATAGATAGATTGGACAGATAGATAGATAGATAGATAGATAGATAGATAGATAGATAGATAGATAGATACAGACAGATAGATAGATAGATAGATAGATAGATAGATAGATAGATAGATAGATAGATAGATAGATCTGACCAGGCTTAGATAGATAGATAGATAGATAGATAGATAGATAGATAGATAATGGACAGAATGAGATAGATAGATAGATAGATAGATAGATAGATAGATAGATAGATAGATAATGGACAGAATGATAGATAGATAGATAGATAGATAGATAGATAGATAGATAGATAGATAGATAGATAGATAACGAATAATGGATGATTAGATAGATAGATAGAAGATAGGATAATATAACGAATATATGTTATATGGCCTTCATTTAGATTTCTTTAAAAAATAAATAACCGAATTTGTCACAAGACTGATCTATTCACAGATTAATCATTCATCCGGCGGGGAATGTGTAAAGTCCACGGCTGGCAAACACTTTCATTATCAAACAGCTTCTCGTCTTTGAGTGGAAATATGAATATTCATGATATAATTAACGCCAGAGGATTTCAGGAGAAATTGATGTTCTCTGATCGATACGATTGGTTTTTGCTTATTGGTATGAAGTTCTCACTTTTATTCCAACTCTTGTCTCGTACGTGCTGGTGAAATTCAATGATGGGACGGAACTGTTATCAGTACTGGTATTCTCAGTCAGAAATTCGAGAAAGAGTAGCAGACTGGAGGTCAAGTTGATCGAGGTTCGTTTCTTATCATTAACAGTCATCGAACATTGATTGATTGATTCGTTTGCTACGGTTCATCAACTTTTTGAAGGTTATTTAAAACCAGAAACTACTTTTAGTTTGTAAGAATTTGGGGTGGGGTGGATAATAATGATTTAGTGATACAAGTCGTATTAATTAACCCATAGCTGGGGGGAGTAGAGGTGGATTCATATCGTTCCCAAAAGTATTTGCACGTAATTGAATATAACTGGAATTGGAAATCGACTCTTCGATTAATAATTCTGAGCCATTATCCATTACGTCTCCCGCATAATCCACGCTTATAGCACCTGGTATTTCTAAGCGGTCACCCATCTAGGTAGTGGCCAAGCTCGACAATGCTTAACTTCGGTCATCGTACGGAAACCGGTGTTTTAACGTTACATTTCCATAAGCCCAAAGTCGTCTAACAGTTTATGAATAAATAGAGTGCAAAAATCATCTTTTTCTTCGGAAAATTGTTATTGAAAGTAAAAGATGGCTAAACTTCTATGTAATATCAATCTTCGTATATAACAGTGGATTGTGGTGGAGGACAATTTCTTCACGGCTGAAGAGAAGACTTGAGGCGATACAGAAGGATACAAAGTATACTATAGACAGATCATGTGAGCAACAAGTAAGTTTTAAGGAAAATAAAAACAAAACAAACACTTATACTTTGAATCAGAAAGAGACAGTTGACATTTCTGGGACGCATAATGAGGAAAGAAGGCTTAAAGAATTTGACACTCATTTGGCGTATTGAAGGCAAGAGAGACAGAGGAAAACAAGGCATAATCTAACTAGCGAGCTTGTGTAAAAAATGGATGGCAGAGCTGGGTTAAGGAAAGATAGCAAAAAATAACACTTACTATGAACCACAAAGGACAGGCATTGTGGAGAGCCATCATCGCCAATATCCTGAAGTTACACGGCACATAGAAATTCGATCGTCAGATAGCCCAAACTTAGAAACGAACAACCCACAAATCGGGAGATGGTTAACCACTGCAGCTAGGGAAGCGTGTGTGATTAAGCGAAGCACACTCGATATATCAATTCTTCCTCGCCGATTCTGTACGCCATCTTTGTTTTATTACACGGTCATTTGTTTCTGATATTTTTTACGACTTTTACCCGAACAATCGTTCAGTGTACTGACCTAGAGTAACATGATGAAATGCAACGATGAGTAGTATAAAACTAGTATTAAAATAATAATAGTAATGAATTATCTATTTGTCATCTATGAAGTTTTTTTATATTTCTTGGAAATAGCGAGTAACCTAAACAAGCTTGTGTCAACGGATGACAGAACAGGTAGGTGAGGTATAATAAAAAAAATACAAGCATTATTAATAAATGCAAAGGATAGGAAGTTTGTGGAGAAACATGATCACCCACGTTCTGAACTGACACGACACATAAGAGAAGGGTATGCTGATTAGTTCCTGTCAGGGTTGACAACAGTTGTAAAAGTATTTTCTCTGTTACTTTCCATGGGTAAGGTGGGTTAGCCACGTGTACACTCAACAACACCAGTGCAGGTGACATGAAGTGCATGTTACATATCCATTGATGGGACAAAGCGAAAAGCAGATCAGTCGTACCTTTTAAAGGCAACGTAAATAATTTCAGCAGTAATTTGAATTTGATTCGACAAATCAGCTTTCCCTGTTTAAAATCATTACAGTCCCACTTCATACACGCACACATCCTTCTAAAGACTTTTCCTTATCTTTCAGTTCCATTAACCCACTCTTAGTGGATTTATCGCCTTTCTTAGAGTGTATTGATTAAAAACACACACACACACACACACACACACACACACATATATATATATATATATATATATATATATATATATATATATATATATATATATATATATATTAAAAACATTTTATGTTTTATTCTTTTTATAGATACAAGTATTTAAGTAAAATCTGTTTATAATAAAAGTATTAAATAACATTTACAAGCCTGAATGTCCGAGAAATTTTCATAGAAAATATTCGTCCTTTGACAGGATTCAAACCTGCATCCTATACGGAACCGTCATTTAACCGACTCGGCCAGCATAAATGACGGTTCCGTATAGGATGCAGGTTCGAATCTTGTCAAAGGACGAATATTTTCTATGAAAATTTATAGGACATTCAGGCCGGTAAATGTTATTTAATACTGTTTATTATAAACAGAGCATTTACTTAAATACTTGTATCTATAAAAAAGAATGTTAAAACAAAAAATGTCTTTAATAAATTGTCGGATTTTTGTCCAATATATATATATATATATATATATATATATATATATATATATATATATATACCGAAGTATAAGATTGGTATATACACGGAATAAATTCCTGTAACCAAAAAATAATATTCGGAAAATAGTGCTCAATACAGAGTAGAGCAAATATAATATATTCGAAAATTATAACATAAAATGTTATAAAATCAATACAAAAATAGCCATTTTGTTTCAACACTTGAATTCAACACTATCACTTGATAAGACACCAGAATTGTTAAAACAAAATGGCTATTTTTGTAGTGATTTTATAACATTTTTAGGTTATAATTTTCGAATTTTTCTATTATATATATATATATATATATATATATATATATATATATAATAATAATAATAATAATAATAATAAACTTCAAATTCTCGAGCCCTTCTATATCAAAAGCAAAAATTTATTACGAGTGTAGAACAATGTGTTGAAGTGCATATGACAACCATTTAATGTCATTTTGCATGCTACCAATTTCCTGTCAGCATCCTTATACTGGGACGCTAGCTTTGCAAAAAATTCTATAACTACAACAGATAAATTTGAATTTTAAAATAATTACAATAGAGCGCGTTCACGCGTGTTTTTTTAAAAATCACCATTACAAAAAAAAAATGCAGATTTTATCACAGTTACAATAAGTTTCTCTTTGTAAGTTATATGTGAGGAGATCAGAACTACTTGCGTAGGAAAAAAATACGGCACCTTTCTTGATAGATTTCAATTTCATTCTAACATCAAGGAACTGATTAGAAAACTGGAAAGGATCAGTATAAAATAAATTTTATTCAATAAAATATGTTTGAATGAAGATATGCTACCTAGATACACACGCACAAACACGCACGCACACACACACACACACACACACACATATATATATATGTGTGTGTGCACTCGCGTGTGTATGTGTGCGTGTGTGTAAAAATTTCAGATAGAGTATATCTGTAAAAGAACAATATGAATAAAGACAAAAAAGACGCGTTTCGTTCTCTGAGGGATTTTATCAAGACAACTGCTAGGATTTTATTTTGTAACATACGTGTTACAAAATAAAAATCTTCATATTTGCCTTGATAAGGTCCCACAGAGGACGAATATGCATTTTCGTCGATAACGTCCTTCAGAGGACGAAACGCGTCAGCTATGTTTTCCTTTTGACTATATATATATATATATATATATATATATCGTTGTCAGATAAGCTCTCTATATAATGCATGTAAGACTCAATATTAATCTCACCTTATTTAGCAGCGGAAATAATGTGTTTTTTTTTAAATAGAAAAACCGAATCCGAATTCCAGCCACGTTTCCTTTCGCGAGGCACAAAATAAACGCAACTACTATACAAACAACATGCACTATATTTCAAACAGACAACCATGAAAAGAAATTAGCAACACTCAACAATAAAACCCCTTGAAAATGGCTTAAAGAAGTGGCCGAAAGCGCTTGGGACAACAGACACTACGGACAACATATATATATATATGACCATGGAATATTAGTGTTTAAGCCTTTTTATTATATCCTTACTCTGTCCTAGACATTGAGTTCTACCTGGATCCTTCCTCTGGAAAAATTTTTTTCTAAAAATATACATGTATGGGAATTTTTTAGATATATTTTTCATATGTATGTATATTTTCCACTAATATTATCTATATATATATATAGTCAAACCTAGTGAGCCAGATAAACCTACCCAGGTTTCACCTAAGCGGTCGTCAGGGAACGCTGGCTCTGACGATCCACTTAGGTGAAACCTGGGTATGTTTGTCTGGCTCATTAGGTTTGACTAGGTCTGCTCTACGGTTGTATTGAGCTCTTTTTAGTTAGTTGTTTACTCGTGTCGTTTTTTTTTTCTTTGGGCTTTGAACCTGTATCTGTGCGATTTTTTCGACAGACGTTCATGTTCCTGGCTCTTTCTTTTTTTTAAAAACCTTTTTTGCCTTCGAGATTGGTTTGATTATTGGCAAATCAAAAATTCGAAGGTTTTTCGGGACGAGTATAGTTACCTATACATATATATATTATAATATTTATACTATTTATATTCCGACTATTGTCCACATCTTTGCTGTTGTGATCAGAACGTTTCGACCGTTGTGACCACCGGCCGTCATCAGGTGTCTATCGATCTGGGTAACTTAGATTAAATTTTCAATTGGACGCTTTATTTAATCTGTGAGGGTCGACTGTTCTAATTCCACAGACCATGTCTCGGGATACCGTGTATTTCTTATTTGTAGTACGTGTAGTTATGGCTCGCCCGTTTTCCCTTGAGGCCAAGTAGACTCTGCCCGGACCAGGGATTGAACTGACAACTACTATGTCACCAAATTCACGAACCGGATAATAGCCGGACAGTGTCTACAACAATCGGTCACCTTAATTAATAACTGAAGTTGCAATTATATATATATATATATATATATATGTGTGTGTGTGTGTGTGTGTGTGTGTGTGTCGCTCCAGGATGTAGGCGATCATGTTTCACACCACATACCATTTCTTCATCATCTGAAAACTGCCATGCTTTCTGATAAAAAAATAGTAGAGTGATTTGCCATTATTTCCAAACCATGGAGAGCATGGTTTGGAAATCAGTGTTTATCTTCTCTTAGGCAGATTGTCTCCCAAGGCGAGTATGCCTAGTCTATTCTGCTACTTAACCCATAGCTGAGTGGAAAAGAGACGGATTCTTGCCATTTCCAAAGGGTATAACTGAAATAAAAAATCGTGTATCTTTTTTTATAATGTCATGTTCCCACAGGATGTAGGCGACCCTGAAGATACTTTTTCTTTATTTTCTGTCAATCGCTCTGAATTCTTGAGAAAAATAATGGAGTGATTTCCCGTTGCTATCTCTGCCGTTTAGAATTTAGAGCCTTCCTACTCTTAGACTGGTTACCAGCCAAGGCTAGAGAGACCAATCTAATCTACCGTTTAACATAGCTGGGACGAGAGAGAAGTGATGGATTCATGCCTTTCCTAAGAGCGTGTATGTTAAAGTGAACATAACAGACTTGGACATGATTCGAACTCGGATCACCAGTTTCCCTTTCCTGTATATGGGGTTGAA